TTAATTATGACAGGGTGTAGCCCACAACCATGAGCTCCGGGGTCTTCCTTACATGAGAAATTTGAATCATTGAAACAGAATATCCTGTGTTTGAAGGAACTCAGAAGGATCTTTGAGTCCAGTGATGGGCAATCAAACGCTTTGTTAAAATCCAGAAAACCCACATTGATGGTCTTCCCTTTGGCCACTAGATGAGTTGGTATAGAAGGAAATTAAGTCAGCACAGCACGAAGAATCTGCTCAGAACGTTTCTGTAGTGTGAATTTTTTAAAAGTCATTTACATGCTAAGCTGTCAACCCATCAATTCTCGTGCTGTAATTTTTAGGAGGATGGCGTATCTCTCATCTGTAGCCTTGAATCCTGCTTTAAGCTTAAAATTTAGTTCAGGCACGAATCAAAATGGAGAGGAGCACTGGGTGTGTGTTAAACTGCTTCTTACAGCTGCTTTAAATACTCACCCAGGGCAGGGAGTAGATGGATGCTAATGATCCCTGTGCCTTTTCTTTGTAGCCATCCTATGGCAAACGTTTGCATCTTTCGTAGTAGGAATGTCGCTGCTTGGGAAGCAAAAGTTGTTTTGGCAAACACCTATACTTGGAATTCTGCTGGAAGTGTCCCTGACCATCTACCAGCGAGTGCTGGGGGTCTGCCCTACTGATCCTGGGTTTCCTCACTTGGAGGCGCTTTTGAGCTGACTTGCAGGGAAACCAAATCCCCAGCTTCAGTTCGAATTGTGAGTGCTCCTGAAAATCGGCCTCCGAGCCTGTCCAAATTAGACACCCCGAGGCAGAAGCTCCTTCTAGGAAAGCTGCCTGAGCGAGGCTTTCCCCGAACACGCCCATGAGCAGAATGGCAAGAACTGAAGGTGAGGAGCTCCTGACCACCTTGCCGAGGCGCTGGGTGAGCTCACCCTCCTCCTTCCAGCTCCATGCTTCCATCACACTCACAAGCCCTCAGGAGTCACCGCTCCTCTCTCAGCTCTGAGGAAGACAGCAGTTGAGCTTGAGAGCACTAAATTAAGTTTTGGAGGGTGCCTGGAGCACCCTTTGGTCTCTGTATGAAATGAGGCCCCTGCTGTCACCCCAGGAGTGGCCCTTGGAGAACAAGCCCGTGTGTATGTGCCCGTCAGCCCTGCAAGGAACATGTCAGTGCTCCCGAGGAGGTTGTTCCTTTGCTGTGGTTCAGCTCAGATGTTCAAATCATCTCTGAGTGCCCTAGGGAGTGCTTTGGAAACATAATTTCCCACAGGCCTGGGATAAGGTGAGAGGTCCAACTCTGAGGTTGCTCAAACCAGAGATTCCCAAACCACAACCCCCTAAAAATGACTTGGCCTCAAGATTTAAGTAATTTCTTACACAAGGGCCGACTGGAGCTTGTGGTCCTCCAAAGTGGCAGTGTCTGCTTGGGGTCATTCTGACTGTTGGGTGTTCTTGGTGTCAACTCTGGGCAGCTGCACCAGCCCCGATTCTGTCAAAGAGGAGGGAACGTTGTGCTAATGGTCTGCAGGGTCTCCTCAGGACACTTCCCTGAGACCAGCAGGTAAAAACCAATACCACTAAGTGCTCCAGAATCCATATGCACCCCTTTAATTAAAAGAAAAACCAGCAGTAAATGGGGAAAAGGAACATCTTTCCAAAGCCAGAGCACATGGATAATGTAACTGTGACACAGACACCCTCCCACGGGTTGCAGCTCCTACAAGAAAAGCAAGTAGCTGCTGAGCACAAGCACGTCCATACAGGAGGGGGATGTTTTAAGTGCTGACACAGATTTGGCTGACAAACACGGTGCTGGCACACTGTCTCCTTTGAAATAACAAATGCTGCCGCAGAACGTGCTCTGTGGTGCTGTGTCTGTCCCCGGGTGCTGCGAGAGTGGCTCCCAGGGAGTTCACCCAGTGAGGTGGTGTGGTCCAAAAAGCAAGACCATTTTTTTTGAAGTTTATTCCCGTTAAAATGTCAATCCTGCCATTCCAGGCGACCTGGTCATGTCCATGGGGCATAGGTCTTTGGCAATCCTGGCATACACCCATTCAGAGCAAGGGGCTGGGCAATAGATTCCTGAATTAATCTATTTGGGTTGTTTTCCCCCACATGTTCTTAAAGCCGCATAAATAATGATCTTGCAATTCCGGGAGCAGAGTCATTTTGTCCTGGCCTGCAGCTCCCTGCCTACCCTGACAGAAGTCTTCTTTCCTGCTCTGATCTCTACAGTCAAGGTGTAGCTTATCTCGGAAGGTGGAATTGTGCTGCAGGGAGGGGACTAGGTCTTGGCAGGGCAAGGAGAACACCCAGGTTGGTGAATGAATTGAGTCTGTGGCTTTGGCTACTGGGACACTGGGCTGGTTTTATTTCCAGCAGTTATTCAGGGGGGTAAAGAAATGAAACCAACGTGTAAGAGGGCTGGGCCAGTTTCCACCTCTCTGGTGCTCTTGTCCACAGTTGCATTTGCCAACTGGGACCCACATCCCTCACCTCTTGCTGCCTACAGCTGACAGTGGGATGCAGTGCTTTGGGAGAAGCACTGTGCTTTCCTCCTGGGGCTTGTCCAGTCTCCAAAACAGGTAGAAGAAGGTTGAGGCAGCAGTGATGCAACAGTGTCCCCCCTGGTTTCCCCCACCCACAATCCCATCTGCAGATAAAACTATACCCAAAAGTTACACTGAGGCAGTATCCCAGATGGGATCCCATACACCATGACATGCTACACTCTGCCTGAGCCAGCCCCAAAAAGCTCTGCTACAGTGAGGAAGAGGGAAGTGGAGGCTGTAACCTCCTGGAGCTTGCTTAGAAACACCAGAAAGCATAGATGGAAGGACACTGCTTGGCCTGGGGGCCATAAATCCCCAGCTCCACTGGTGCTGGCAGTGCCTCTGCTCTGGCATGGGTGACTGGCAGCGCTGTGGGGCAATACTGGAGGGGAGGTCCCTGCCTCTGCTGCTTTTTGGGGACATCTTTGCTGCTCTAACCTACTCCCCTCCCAGGACTGTAAAGGCCACTAAGATGATTAAGGGATTGGAGCAGCTGTCATGAGAGCTGGGACTCTTTAGCTTGGAAAAACAAAGGCTTGAGAAGGGGATTCTTGTCCATGTCTTATTAATACCTGGTGGGGGTTAGAGAATCACAGAATCACAGAATAGTAAGGTTGGAAGGGACCACAGTGGGTCATCTGGTCCAACCTCCCTGCTCAAGCAGGGTCATCCCTGAGCACATGGCACAGGATTGTGTCCAGATGGTTTCTGAATATCTCCAGTGAGGGAGACTCCACACCCTCTCTGGGCAATCTGTTCAGTCTGCACTCACTGCACAGTAAAGAAATTCTTCCTCATGTTTGGGCGGAACTTCCTGGGCATCAGTTTCTGCCCGTTGCCTCTTGTCCTATTGCTGGGCACCACCAAGCAGAGCCTGGCTCCATCCTCTGACACTCTCCCTTTCAGATACTGATAAAGGTCCGCTCTCAGTCATCTCTTCTGGAAGCTGAACAGGCCCAGCTCCCTCAGCCTGTCCTTGTAAGAGAGATGCTGCAGTCCCTTAATCATCTCTGGCCTCTGCTGGAAGCTGATCCAGGAGCTCCATATCTCTCTTGTCCTGAGGAGTCCAGAACTGGACACAGCACTCCAGATGTGGCCTCACTTGGGCTGCGTAGAGGGACAGTATCACCTTCCTCGACCTGCTGGCAGTGCTCTTCCTAATGCATCCCAGGATACCATTTGCCTTCTTGGCCACAAGGGCACACTGCTGGCTCATGGACAGCTTGTTGTCCACCAGGACCCCCTGGTCCTTCTCTGCAGAGCTGCTCTCCAGCAGGTCAGCCCCCAGCCTGTACTGGGGTTGCTCAGGGACCTGCAAGGACCAGCAGGAGGTGATGGACAGGGTTTGGAGAAGAGGAAGGCTAAAAAGAGATAAAGCTTAAAAAAAAAACCCTCCATTGAGACCGCAGAGGCACATGACAGGGACAGGGGGAGCAGTTCTGGGGTTCCCCAGCCCCACGGTGACACCACGCAGGAGCAAGCAGGCAGCCCCACTCCGTGGTGCAGGCACAAATCTCCAGTGTTCCCCCTCTTTCTGCCCAGCCCATGGGGAGGTGGCACAAGACCCAGTGCTCTGCCATGCACTTTGTGGCCCAATGCCACCTCCTCCTTGGTGGGGAGGCTCCGTGTCAACCAGCCACACGCTGCCAAAGCTACTGAACTCGGGAAAAAAAATCAAAGCAGTGAGAAGTGTTTGTGTTGCGAGTGTCAGGGAGGTGGCCCCGTCAGAGCCACCAAGAGGTCAAAGTTCCTTCCTGGGAGAGCCAGAGGAAACAGCACTTCCTTCCCAGTAAGCTTCCAATAAACTTCCTTCCCAGCAAGCTTCCCAGCAATCCAGCAGCTCATAGGTGCCAGGCAAGCTGCACAGGAGGGGCACAAAACCTCCAGCCCCAGGGGAAGGTGGTGAGGGAAAAGCAGCAAGAGGGGACACAGGGAGCAGTCCCTTCTCCCAGCCCAGTACCACACAGCGAGGTGGGGACAGCGGATATCCTGGGATGAGGCACAGCAGCTTAGGGTGGTTTAGCATTCCCTGTCACACCCATCCGGTGCGAGGGCGTCTGGGGACACAGCTATGGCCACCGCAGCTGCTGCAATTTGCTCCCAGTGCTGGACATGAGTCCTTACTGGTCCAAACTGGAGGTCAGGGCCTGGATAACCATTCCCACATGGCAGCAGCTGGAGATGGGGAGTGTGTGGATTTGCATGCACACGCACAGGGCTGTCACTGTTCCAGAGCCAGCCCTGGTTCCAGTGGCTCCCATCCTGTGTGGCCACCTCATACCACCTTGGGTGATGCTTCCCATGCCCAGCAGCCAAATTTTGGCAACATTTGGCTGAGGTGCAGGCAGTGCCAGAAATCACAATAATTTCCCACAACACCCCATCACCCTCCAGCTGTCTAAGCTGACCCTCAGCCTGCCCTGTCCCAGGGCACTGGGGCCAAAGAAACACCCTCACAGCGACACTGACAGTCATTAAACGTTTGGTTTTATTTCTGGTTTAAAATCAAAATTAGTCATTCTCTGTAATTACATTATATATAGATTTATAGAGACATTATAGAAAAGAATTTTTTGCTTTTGTTTTTCTGCAAAAATCTGTAAATAAAAAATAAAATAAAACAGAACAAACAAAAAAAAAAAGGTGGCAGCTTCTGTCTGTCCGTCTGTCCGTCCCTCTATTGCTCCTCCTGCCCCTGCCCTCCACGGCACTTCCCAACAGACCAGGAAAGGCTCTGGGCTGGGACCACACCTCACTACTCTCCCTACAGCCACAGCCAGGGAGCGACAGGAGCATGTGGAGCTGGAAAGAAGAAACGCCAGCAGAATATATTAATATCTTATATTTCATTTTATTTAAGTCCTGGGGACTCCAGGTGGCAGAGGGCAGCAGTCCCCATGGCCCAGGCAACTCCTGGAAAGAAACAGCTAAGTTTCCAAAGTGCAGGTCCTTCCGGGACAGGGCGCGCGCCCTCGAGCAAGAGGAAGGCAAGAGGAGCAGAGAAATCCGGTACCTCTCCCCGCCGCCCCGGGGGGCAGGAAGGGTGGGCTCCGCGGGTATTTTAAATAGCGATCAGAGGGTGGGATGTGCAGCGAGCCCCCCTGCCCAGCGGTGCGGAGGTGGCCCCCGCGGGGCCGGGGCGGGGAAGCGGTGCTCCGTAAGGCAGTGTGCGGCCATGGCGAGCTGCCGGCGGGGGTAATACTGCAGTGTGGTGCCGAGAGCGGGAGCTGCCGGGTCCCCAGTCCGTGCAAGCCCGGGCGGCCCGGCGGTGCCTGTGCCCTCAGGGATGGCCTGTGGGCGTGCGTGGGTCTCAGAAAGCTGTACTGGCCATGCTGGCTGGTGCAAAGATCCGTGGGAGGCTGTCCAGGGTCTCCTCCAGCCGCCGGTGAGCTGATTTACCATCTTCCCCTGCAAGTACACACCGTGGTCAGTGATCCGAACTGCAGGAGTTCTGTCCCCTGCTCATCCCTGGCCACCTTTCCCGGCCCTTACAGGGAAACATGCCTAATGCCTGGCAGAGCCTGCGTGCTACGGCCACAGCATGGAGACCTCTCTTGTCCTCCTTAGCACACCCTTGGGCAGGTCCCAGCTGGGATCCGGCTCAAAAACTCCCCAGAGCTTCTGATTCAGAGGTTGCAAATCCTGTTCCTCAGCTGCCCACGCGGGGCAGGGATCACCCGTGTTTTGGCTGCAGGAGTGTTGGCTTGTGGAGAGCCTCACTTGAGGCCAAGGGACCAGTGCTCAGGGCTGTGCCAGCTCCGGCAGCTCCAACAGCTGTGCACATCTGCATGCACTGGCACGGGGGTCCCGAGGGCTCCCCCAGGACCCCCGAGCACACACAGGGATGCACACACCCATGCTACAGGCTCACTCTGAGCTCTTTGCCCGGCACCCTCACACGCAAATCTGCCCACAGCGGCCATCCCCAGCAAGAGGTGGTGACATGGACAATCTGCTGGGACATAGGACACAAGGCGTCTACATGTGCTGGGGTGCCACAGGGATGGGCACTATCAACAACCAAGACACACAGACTCCGAAACGTGACATGGCTGACAGGCTCTAGGACGGAGACATTCGTGAGCAAAGCGGCAGGAGCGGGGACAAGGGGGACGAGGACGGCTCACGTGTCCCAACCTGTGCAGCAGCTGCCGCGATCTGGAGGCCTAGAAACCCACTCAGATGGTTCTCTCAGGGCCATCTAGCAAATAATAAATAACAACCAGGCTTAGTGCTGTGGCCACAGGATGCCTGGCCCTCGCTGCCCGCTGCCAGCTTGCTCTTGCCCAGCAGAGCTTGGGGCACGATGAGCCAGAGTGTGTGGGGTAGGCAGGGACCAGCCCTGTCGTCCGTGGGCACTGCTGGCACCAGGAGATGCCTCTTGGGATGCTGCGGGTGGAGAGGGAGCAGAGAAATAGCGGAACACTCACCACACAGCATCAGGCTCTGCTTGGCTGCCTCCCGCACGGGCTCTTTGTCGGTTTGGCACAGGTAAACCAGCTGCTCAATACTCTCCTTGGCCTGCAGAAGGGACAAGGGGCTGAGTGTGGCTAGCACGGTGGGAGCAGGGACACAGCCCACAGGGGAAGGCAGCACAGGGCATTGCAGCCCCACGGTGCAAGGAAGCTGCACATCCTGTCCCTTTTCTCCCCACTTCCTTTCCTGCCCTGCCCCTGCCTGCTGCTCCAGCACATTTGGGGCACCCCCAGCTCCTCTCCCCCGGCAGCAGGGGGCTGTGCAGGTGTGTCCGGAGTCACCGGCCACAGGCATTTCCTCTTCCTTTGGAACATGCAGCTCTGCTGCCTCCTTCCCCCACCCCTCTCACCTTCAGGCAGCCCAGTGCCGCACACCCCGCCACGCGTGTCTGCACCTCCTCATCCTCCAGCTGCTCCAGGAAGCACACGAGGGCCTGGGGGAGATGGGAGTCAGTGCCACCACCTGCAGCAGAGCTGGGGGCAGCCACCCAGGGGCTGTGGCCCCAGCCCATCTCATCCCTGGTTTGCCCAGTACGTACCCGTTGGCGGAAGCGGGGGTTTTCTGCCAGGCTGCGGAGCTGGGCTGACACGGCGCTCACCACCTTGCTGTTGCCCTCCACGAGGAGCAGGCTCAGTGCCTTTAGTCCCTCCTTCTTCAGGCGGGCCTCGGGCACACGCTTCAGGGCACGCAGCACCACGTCCTGGTCGTCCGAGTTGAGGTTCTGTGCCAGCAGTGCTGCAGGAAGCCAAAGGCTCAGCCAAGGTGTGGGGAGCCATGTGGCACTGCCCCTGCACCCATCACCACAGGGAACCCATCCCTGGGCACCCTGCATCCATGCTGGGCAGAGGTGGCCCCACACAGGGTGCTCATACATAGAGTTGTCCCCCAAAATGTGGGGACCTACATCAAGGACATGGGAAGGCAGCATGGGAGTGGACTGCGCTCTGGATCAGACTGACTTGCCCAGCCTGAGCATGGCTGAGCCTCTGGGTGATGCCCAGTCATGGCAGTGCCGCAGGGTGATCAATGACTATGGTCATGCTCTGACACCTCATCCCAGGGCCTAAGGAGGATGGTAGGGCACCCACCTTCCTCTGCCAGCTCCATCATGTAGGTGTCAAGCACCAGGGCGCCGAGCGACTCAAAGTGGCTCCAGTACTGGAAGATGGTGACCTGCTCGCTCTGGGCACTGCCAGGCCGCCGGGGCAGCCGCCGGTTCAGCACGTCCTCCACCAGTTTCACACATACTGCGGGAAAGAGCCAGAATCACAGTGTGCAGCAGCTGTGGTCACCCCTCTGAGGGGCTCTTGGCCCCCACATACTCATGGTCACCGAGTGAGGCTGCCAACTCCCGGCATACCCTTGGCACCCACTCACCAGCATCAGCCAAACCAGGGTGCTGCTCACTGATGGGCGCTGCATACTGGGCACTGAGCACCTGTAGGAACCGCTCCACGGAGCAGGTGTAGATGTTGGGCACCTCCACACAAAGGTCCCAGAGAGGCAGCACGCCCTCCTTCCGCGTGGAGAACTGCACCACTGCAGGGACAGGGGTTGTCAAACCTCCTGAGGCCATGGCAGCAGGCAGGTGACTCCTGTCCTCCACCTGGCATGGCCCCTTCGCTGCCCAGCCGTGCCCGTGAGGGGACACCAGGCTTCACACAGCCTCCAGGGTGGCACAGAGGGTCCCCTTGGCCGCGTGTCCTTACCGTCGGCGGCCGAGCTGGCCGCTCCCGCACGCTCCTCCGTCAGCTGGCACACGATCTCCAGCACCTGCGACTCCCGCAGCAGCCTGTCCAGGGCGTACATCTCCTGGCACCGCAGGGGACCGAAGGTGCCCAGCTTCTGCAAGGCACAGCCAAACCAGACACCTCAGGGACAGAGCTCACCGCCCACAGTGCCTCCGTGCCACGGCAAGGCACCCCCTGAGGGGGGACCTACAGCCCACCCCAGGGTGTCTCCGGCTGCTGTACCCCGTCCCTGGTCCTCACCAGCAGCAGGCAGTTGCAGTTGTTGAGGTGAAGCACCAGAGCTTTATCCAGGAACTCGTTGCCGGTGCTCATGGGGTCAGTGCTGGCCTCAGAGCCGCTGCACATTCCAGTGTCATCTGCCCCCATCTCGCCGGCGCTGGGGGCCCGGGTGCTGCGCAGGGGTCTGCCAGCCTTCCTGTAAGACAGGGAGAGATCAAGGCACTGGATCAGCACAGGAAACCTGGATCTGGCCCTTCCCCACCCACAGGGCAGAGTTTCTGTAGGACCTATAGCATCACAGCTGGGCAAAGGAGCAGGTCCCAGAGGCACAGGGGCTGCCTCCAGCCCAGCCCCATGGAGGGATGCAGGGTGACACTGTGCCACCAGAAGGACCAGATACTGCTGTTTCTTGGCCTGGCCCTTCTCTGAGCTGTGATGGGCCAGTCTAAACGTGTTTGGGCACCCTGGCAGAGGTGGCCATCCCCCATCCCTTGCTGCAGGGGTGCCTCCTGCCCTGTGCCCCATCCCATGAGCCCTGCTGTGCACCTCTCATCTTGGAGAGGCTCTTCCTCAGAGCCCTCTGAATCCTCCATGTCAGAGGTGTTGAGGAAGCTGAAGCTCTCCAGCGCGTGCTCCACTGTCAGGCTGATGCTGGAAGCCCGGCTGAGGAAGACGCCCTGTTTCTGCTGTGGAGGAAGACATGGTGGGGTTGAATCCTGGTTCACTAGCCAAGACAGCCCTGCCACACATATTCCCAGCTATGCCATCAGGGGTGGCCCCATCTCCATCATCCCTGGGCACTGCCATCAGGGGTGAACCCTGTCCCCATCATCCCTGGAGACTTCCAACCGGGGTGACTCTACCCCCATCATCTCTAAGCACTGCCACCAGAGATGATCACCATTCCCATCATCCGTGGGCACTGCCAGCACGGATGGCTCTATCCTTGTCCACTGGCACTGTCAGCTCGGATGGACCCATCCCCCTTGTCTCTAGACACTGCCGGAAGGGATAGCCCTGTCCCCATAATCCCTGGGCACTGCCAGCAGGGATGGTCCTGTCCCCGTTGTCCCTGAGCACTGTCAGCAGGGCTGGCCCTGTCCCCATTGTCCCCAGACACATTGCCAGCCACACATGCCCTGTCCCCATCGCCCCTGAACACCACTGAGAGCTCCTCACCAGCAGCATCTCCTCCAGACGCTTGAGCTCCCGTTCAAGGGGCTGCAGCTCTGGGAACTGCCCCCGATAGTCCTCCAGGGCTGAGCCCAGAAGGCTGATTGCCTCCTCCAGCCCTGAATCCACCACCTTCCCCCGTGGCACCTCAGGGGCACTGGCAGGCAGCGGTGGGGTGGGGACGGGCCTCTCCTCCACAGAGGCTTGTGCCAGTGCTGCAGGGACCTCGGTGTCACAGCCACCCTGTGCTGTTGCCTGGTTCTGCACTGGCTCAGCCCTGCCAGCCTCCTCGCAGGAGGTGGCCCATGCTGCAGAGGCTCGGGGCTTGGCCTCAGCGTCCCTGTCCTGCCCTGCCACAGCCGCTGCCACTGCGGCGCCGGGGAGGGAGTCTGCATCTTGCTCTCCCGTCCCTGTGTCCTCTGGGCTGGGCATGGGCTCCCAGGGGCTCTCCACAGCCTTGGCCTCCATCGTGGCGTCCACGCTGGCCTCGCTGATGTGGCTCAGAGTCCGGGAGTAGGGCACGTGCCCGTTGGCCACTGTATCCTTCTTACGGCTGCCTGACTCCTCTGGCTGGCTCACGGAAGGGGAGACGCTGCTGCCACTGGTCCCAAGGCCAGTCTCGGCCTCATCTGGTTGCTGGGAGAAGGAGATCTCAATGGCTGGGGCGGAGGCCTGCACCTCGGGCTGCACGATGGGCTTGTGGGTGGCGTGGCGGGCGCTGCCAGACAGCTGGGGGCTGGAGGAGTCGTCCGAGGACTCGGACGAGATGGACCAGGCTGTGCCGTTCTCCAGCTCCTCCTGGCGCCGCAGCATGTTCTGCAGAGGGGAGAGTGGAGTCAGCCAAGACCCTCCTCCTGCTGCCCCCACTCCTCTGGCTGTCTTCCTGTCAACCAGGGGCAGGGTCCAGCTGAGCTGGAGGGCACTGAGGCTGCCAAAGCTCTGCTGGCACAGCAGGATGGGCAGCGAGGTCTCAGCAGACCACGGCTGCCTATTCCAGCCCTGGATCTCACCCCATGCCAGCAGGCAGTCCGCCTCCCCATGCCCAGCCCCTGGAGCCCTGGGGTGCCAGCTGCTCCCCAGCACAGTGGGATGCAACACCTAGAGCCAAGGACACCACCCACCATGGCTGCAAGAACTAAAACAGGTCCAGCATCAGCTCACGTGGACGGCACCAGCCATTACACCAATGTCCTTTACCGGTTCAGCCTTACACCAGCCTTACACCAGCCATTACCGGTTCAATGTCACTGAACCGGTGCCATGTCAACATCATGTTAGAGTCAAACCAGCACCATGACACCATCACACCAGCACTGTCACCAGCACCATGCCAATGCCACGGCACAGCACACCAATGCCACCAGCACAGGGACACAGAGAAGCTTTCTACTCACTAGTGCCCTGTTCTTGCACAGGGGTGAACCCAGGCTCTCCTAGGTTGGGGACTAGCTCTGCAGGACCAGCCAGACCCCAGCCTGGCAGGATCAGGCCTTTGGGCATCAGTGAGGGATGGTGAGTAGGAGACAAGGAGCGGCTACGGCTACTGCGGGATGGCCACACTGCTGGGCTAAGCTACCGGCCTGCTCCAGCCCCGCACTTACACAGCCCTGCTGCGGCCATCTCCCGAGCTCGGCCGAGGAGACATCGCCGCAGGAGCAGCTCTGAGAGAGCTTCTCGAAGAGTGTCTCCCGAAAGATGTCCAGCAAGGACCAACCGCGCTTGTCAGCCGCCCGCTCCGGGCTCTTGGGCAGAGAGAAGAGGAGCTGTGAACGCGGGAGGGAGGAGCAGGCACCGGTACCGGGGAGTCGTGGCTGGATGGCTGGAGAGGAGCTGCCCACCCCTGTCCCTGAGCTGTGCCACCCTCTGAGATGCAGCATGGGCACATCCCCGTGTGGACCCCACCAGCGCCCACCTCTCCTGAGCAGCCCTGCCTGGTGCACACTTACATAGAACGCCTGTTCCCGAAGGGACGGCGTGTCAGGTGGACTCTGGTTGTAGGTAGAGAACCTCTTGTTCACTGTGGGCGCCTTGTTGACGGTGCTGGCTGCTGAGGGCTGGTCATCCTTGTCGAAGGGGCTGGGGAGGACAGCAGGGAGGTGAGGGATGTGTGCCAGCTTGGGGGGGAAGTCTCAGGACACCAGGACCCCCTCCATTCCAGCTCTGGTTTTCCATAATTACAGCCCAGTTTTGGGATGGGAGAGCCTGGGCAGGTCACCTCTTGCCATGCCATACTGGGTATCCCCAGCACTACCATGTGCCACCAGCAATGCCTGCTGAGGTACTCACTTCCAGGTCACCTCCAGGCTGAGTTTGAGGGTGCCCAGGTCATTGATATCCACAGCCACTACCTGGGGCAGAGCTGCAAAGAGGTCCTTGGTCTCGCAGGACACGTTGCCCACCACCACATGGTTGGCCAGGCTCTTTAGCTCTGTCACCTGGAGAAGGAGGAGAGGAGGAGATGAAGCCATGGGCCAGTGAGAGTGAGGTGCTGAAGAGAGGCTCAGGAAAGTGGTGGAATCACCATCCCTGAAAATGTTCAAAAAATGTGTGGATGTGGCACTTGGGATGTGGTTTAAGGGTGGGGCTGGACTCAATGATCATAGTGGTCTTTTCCAACCTAAATGACTCTGATACAGGGGGGTAGCTGGCCCACACCATCCCTGCCCTCTTCTGCACTGTACCTTGATGGAGAGGAACTCGGTGATGAGGGGCAAGAAAACCATTTCCTCGCTGTCCCACACCTGCTTGCTGTTCACCTCGATGCGCCCCCGCAGCTTCCACCGCTGCCGTCCGTACTTCATGAAGATCTGGGGATGCAGAGGTGTGGGTATGGGGGAGACAGGACACCAGGGTGCTCTCTGTGTGTCCCCAGGCATGGCCACGGACCCATGCCACCCACCACCACCCTGCAACATGCCCTCCATGCCAGCGCCCACCTACACCCCCGAGACAGCCCAAGGACCACAGGGCAGGAGAAGAGCAGAACCCATCCCATTTGGTCCCACCAACCTCATACTGGTCACCAGCACAAAGCCGGGCAAAGCCTGCCAGTCCTGCAAGAGAAGGCAGAGGGGCGTCAGCAGGCAGCAGGCAGCCAGGCAGGCAGAGGGATAGAGATGGAGCGGGACATGGTACCTTTCATCCGGACATGGAACTCGCCCAGCTGGCTCTCCAGATCATTTTCCAATAGACACATGTTCTGGGAACACACGGATGGACAAGATCCATCAGCAGACACTCATGGGACCCAGCACCCTGCCATCCCACCCCTGCCAGCTGCCTCACCTCTGTGTACTCCTTGTAGCCCTTGCTGGCCTCGGCCAGGCTCTCCCGTGCCTCCCGGCTGCCCGGCGAGCCCGTGCTGTAAGCCTTGACCATGTTGTGGGCTCCATCCCGGAGCCGCCGCTGGATGCAATAAGCCTCATACAGCTCATCTATCTGCAAGGACAGGCCCGAGCTGTGGTGAGGGGCAGGGCTGGGGACAGCACAGGCACCCTGGTGTGGTTACCCCAAGGTGACCCCAAGGTGACCCCAGTCCCCAGCTCTCACCTTGCTGGCATGAAACTCCAGGCGACGCAGGAAGCGCTCGATGGACTTGACTTGCTGGAAAAGCAGAGGAGATGGTGTGAGCGGCAGCACAGCCGCTCTGCAGAGATGCAGGTCGGGATGTGCCCCCTGCGTCCCCCACGCCGTGGCTGGGACACGTCCTGGACACCAGCCCTGCCTGGGAGCTGCAGGGTGGCAGCCACCAGGGAGCACCCTCGTGCTGCAGCCTCCTCCAGGCTTTCCTGCTCTTGAGAGTCCTCTAAGACCCAAGCCAGGCTCCAGGGTGCTTTTTTGCCCAGCCTTAGAGACAACCTGGGCCCAGCACTTGCTAAAAACAGCTTTTGTTTGCAAGAAGCAGGTTACAAGCACATCTCTGTTTCATCCCCTGCCCAGAGCCACCCTGCCTGCAGAGCCCCAATCCCTCCCCCACCCTGATCCCAGGGGACAGGCAGCAGGGCAGTGCTAGCAGAGCAGGGCTGGCAGTAGAACATCCCAGGCACTTGGAAGGGAGATACGAGGGGGATGGGGCACTGATCCCGCTTACCTTATCCAGATCGTAGAGAAAGCCCTGGAGGAGAGAGGAGAGGGATAAGATGCAGCACAAAGCCCGCTCTGTCCACCCAAGGAGACCCAGCACATTGCACCCACCACCCATAGCACGGCAGTGGGACATGCAGCACCCAGCCAGGGCTGGAGAGTGCATGACAAAGGGACAGGAGCCCTGTGAAGCCCAACACCAGAGCCTGGGCTGGCCCCCCACATCCCCACAGAAACAGGCTCTGCCCCAGGACACAGATGGACCACGAGCTGCCCCAGCTGTGCCACAACCCTGGCTGTCTGCCCAAGGCACCGCTCCCTGTAAGGCTCTTCCCAAGCAGCACTCACCAGGCGTGAATTCCTCTTGGACTCACGGATCTGGGTGCTGAGCTTCTCCAGTTCCAGCTGGTGCACCTCAAGGTAGGCTCTGAGGGAAAACACACCATGGGGGTCAGGCTGGGATGCTGTATTCCAGGCTCCTGCCACCCACAGCCCACACCAACCCCGCACACCTGGCACTGCATCCCCACTCCCTGTTCCAGCACCCAGGCGTGGGAACCCATTCATGCCTCTACATGGGCTGTGGTGGGATGCAGGACCCCAGACAGCTCTGGGACCCCAGGGCACCATGTCCAGGAGACCTGGCATGTCCCTGCCTGGTGAGAGCAGAGAGCTGCCAACCCCAACCCACGTCACAAGCTGTCCCTGTGCCCCTCAGGGGCTCCCTGCCTCCCCCCACTCGGCCACAGGGAGCCCCAGCACTTACGTCAGGCCTTTCTTGAGAGCTTCATACACCTCGTCCAGGCGGTTGGGCTGAGGCACCTTGGGTGGTGGGGATTTGTGGGACATTGAGAACATCCTACTGACCCTGGAGCCAGTCTTGCGGGAAACGGTGGGGGTGAAGGGCGAGAGGTTCCTGGGGAGAGAGGCAGGCAAAGCCAGGATGGCCGCGGTCAGCACACAGCACCAAGGTCCTCCTGGATGCCTCAGCCTGCTGGGCACCCTGTCTCAAGACAAGGAGGAGCTCTGGGAGGCCAAGTCCCCCTGCTTCTCTCAGGACTCCCCAGCAGTCAGTCTAACCAACCAGCTGGAAGACACAGAGCCATAAAGCTGGGCAGCACTGCCTGCACCACATGCCTGCAGCCCCTGCAATGCATTTGGCTGCTCCAAAACCATGGGAAAGACAAAGAGAAACCCACAAAGGTAGAGCTGGAGAGGAGCAGGGAGGTAACCCCATCCCAGCGGGGTCCAAGAGTCTGGCTGTGGTACAGCCTCTGTGAAGGTGGGGAAGTCCCAGGTGCTGGTCAGGGGGAGCAAAGGTAAATGGAGATGGCACCAGCTGGAGCCAAGCTGTGTTCCTGGAGTGCCTGTGGGGACATCTCCAGCGCTGGTGCCCCTCTGAAGGGGCCATGCTCTGCTCCATCCCCAGCACCCCAGGCTGCCAGGGGCTTAGAAATGCTCTCTGGGCACTGTGGCAGGGTGACACATGCCACCTTTGGCTTGACAGCCTGTCACCTGCTCCCAGGATCAGGCAGAGATCCCAACGCGTGGCAGCATGGGAGAACCCTGGGGACCAGCAGCCCCGTCACCCCATCACCCAGCGCAGCCACATGGGACAAGGACATCCTCACTGATGCTGTGCCTCTCCAGATGTCACCAAACCTGCTGGATGGAGCTGCCTCCCCCAGCTGCCTCCCCACGGTGTGCCGACCCAGCGCCCGGGACCTGAACACCTCCCTTCCTGCCTTGTGCAATGGAGTCACTCCCCAGCCCAGCCAGCAACGCCTCGCTCAGACCGGCTCTTCCCTTCCTCCTTTCAAAGCATCATCACGCCACCAGTGCCCAGGAGACACCAGGGGCTCCTCAGTTCCCAGCCTTAGGCTGTACCTCCCATCCTGTCCCGCTCTTCGCAGAAGTGACCAAAACACTTCCCCGAATCATCCATGGGGGAAATTAATGTCTTGGCCTCCTCCCAAGCTGGAGCGATGGGTAAGCGCCTAATTTCCACCATTCCTCCTCATTCCCGTCCTCCAGAGTCCCTGGAGGCATCTCCCACAAGCATCTCCCCACCAGCCACTTGGCTGCAGGCATCTAAAAATCCTCCCTATTCTCTGTCCCTAAGCAACCCCCTTTACATCCCCAGATCAAATGACCTGGTGATCTACAAAGTGTTACTTGGTCCAGAGGACAGGACTTGGGGACAAGAGCTGAGCAGGTCTGGAGGATTTCTGGGCACAGGGAGGCTTTTCCTGGGCTTGTGCCCACCCAAAGAAGATGCCCCCAGCATGGCCAGGCAGCTTAGCACTACTTTCCTTGGCCATTTGGCTGAGAGACATCTTCCCCTAGTACTGGTAGGTGCACTGGAAAGTTAGAAGCTTGGGTGAGCACTAGGAAAGGGGATTAAAAGCACTAAATTGCTTTAGTCCCACAGCCCAATCTGTGGCATTCCCGAGAACCACCTGTGAGAGGGTATCTGGGAGCTAGGAATGGTGGGGAGGGGCGGGGTGGGGACAAGCAGTGCGTGGGGTGGTTGTCACTGACAGGAGCTCAGCAGAGAGGAGGAGGATGAAGGGGATGATGGGACCATAACATCGCCAGTGGACGGAGAGGATGAGTAGGGAATGGCTGCTCCTCGCACCACAGTTGACAGGAGGCCAGTAAAACCTTCAGTCACAGGTTTGAGGTGACCTCAAGGAAACCCTGATTCACACCAGCACTCACAACCCCGAAACTGGCCGCTGCAGGATGTCAAGGCCATCAAGACACTTCGAAGCCACCCCAGCTCCACCGCACCCATTAAACACGATGAGATGGTCACAGGGAAGCTCTTAAGAGCGGGCTGAAGAATGAGGTGAGCTACACCTGTCCCCTCCATGCTCTGGTGGCTGCAGGGTCCTCACCCTGCCTGGGGTACAGCACAGCGGAGGGTTGGGGTGATGGGTTCTGTCTCCCACATGGCCTCAGTGCTCCCTGCAGACCCCTGTGCAATGTCCCCTGGCTACCACAAAGGTCCCTGAGGGAGATGATGGGACAGCTGGACAGGAAGGAGCCTCGGGATGTGCAGCAGGTCCCACCACAACGCCCAAGCCTGTCCCTGTCCCCAGGACGAGCAGCCATCTCCTACCTGAAGGGCCGGTCGGCCGATGAGTTCACTCCGGCAAAGGACTGGCTCCTATTGATCTTGGTGACGAGGACTCGGCGCTGCGGGCGCACAGACAGTGACATCGTTGAGTGTGACCTGGAGGGCCTCCCTGGGGACAATGACACAGCAGGGTCACCAGCAGCCAGGTGGGGACACACACGCAGACAGAGGTGCCGCTGGGACTGAGAGTGGCACCCACGGACCATGGACTGTGAGCCTTCCCAGCCTCTCAGTCCAAGAACACTCCTGGTGGCACCGGGACACAGGGCCCATTCTGCCCCCAGGGATGCTGCCAGTGGCCTGCCCTGGGTGAAGCAGGGCCCTGGACACTGTGAGCACTCAGTGGGGACAGACAGACAGATGTGTCCGAGCTTGGCCCCATGGGAGCCACAGGAGGGGGCTGATGTCCAGTGCCTGCCATGGCCCTTCCCAGACATGACCATGACAAACCCTAAGCTGTGTCCCAGGCCGGACACCTCCTCCTGAACCCCACCTTGTCCCACATCCTGCCATCACCCGTGCCACCCTGCTGCAGGGGCAGGAAGGGCGCGGGGCTGGACCCAGACGCCCAGCCCTTTGCTGTCTCCTCATTCACTTCCGCTCGCTCCAGCAACCAGGGGGGAAACCCAAGGACAACAAAGCACTTTGGAAAGTTCCTGGCTTTGCCAGGAGCTCTGTGTTGGGGAAGAAAAGGCTGAGCCATTCCCTGCCAGACCCTGGAAAGTCCATGCGGGCAGCACATGTTCAGCCTCACAGCTGCTGCACCCCTGCAGTGACAGCGCCAGGAGACCTGAAACTGGTGCCGGTACCTGCCTGTCCCCACCACGTCCGGTGCAGTGGATGCCAATCAGGACGCTGCAGATTTCTGAGTCTTGGGGCAGGAGCACGAAGAGCAGCCCAAAGCACAAGGCAAGGGCAGGGGAGTCTGGGGTTCCCGGCCACCCCCAGCACTGCCAGCTGGGCACAGGGAGGAGCCCAGCCCACAGGGCAGCCACAGAGGAGCGGGATGTGGGATGTTCCACTTCATTCTGCCCACTGCTGATGGCAGCTCAGTGCCCCTACCCCTGACAACCCCAAGCTGAGCTGTGGGTTAGGGAGCCAGGAGCTGCTGGGGATGAACCCACACGGCATCCAGCAGTCACACACCCTGCCAGGAAAGGCCAGGCAGGGCCCTAGGGATGCACAGCTTCCCTGGCTGTCAAACTACGCCAGAGCCACCTCCCCATATCTTAAGGGGCTCACTCCTGCCTCCAGCAAGGCTGACAGCCAGTGGACACTACAGGGACACAGGCTCTGCCACCACCATTCCCACTCCTTCCCCAGCACAACAAACCCAGGATACTGGCCCAACCTGGCCCTATGTGGCTCACACCCACTCAACCACCAGTGGGCATCCCCCCAGCACTGTGCCCCTCACCACCCCACACGCCAGGCTGAAGCCAGGGATTTACAGCGCTTGGGATGAGCCAGAGCCGTTCGGAGTCAAAGACAGCCACCGCCGCTCACCTCTATCCCAGTGGAGCTGGGAGGCAGCAGGTCCATCTGGTTCCCCCTCGGCACTCGGGTCCCAGCCCAGGACCTTGGAGCTGCTCGGCGGGTCCCACGGCCTCGGTGCTATCTGGGTGTCAGTCCCTCCATTTTCCAGGACAACACTGTCCCAATTAAGCTCATTAGAAGGAGCTGTAATCCCTGGCAGCCCGGCTGACCTGCAGGCCTGGGCAGATTACCCTCTGCAGGGCTCTTTAATCTGCTCCCCACTGAGCAAGCCAGGCCTGTGGCTCCCGTGCTTGCTCCTCAGCTGGGCACTACAGCAGCTCATCCATAGGGACAGCACCCACCACCCCTAGGACGAGGCTCTCCATGTATGGGGTGGGTCACAGCTCCTTTGGGCACGCATGGTCCTGCCAGCCAATTCTTCTCCAGCCCATGCTGCCATCTAGGGGCTCAGGGGGAGCTCTAAAGAGGTTTTCTCAGGCAGGAGCCCACCCTGAGAACATCACAGGGGAGGAGGATGCTGGGGGCATCGCAAGAGAAGAAGAACCCTGGAGGTATCACAGCACAAGGATGCTGAGGATGTCGCAGGGAAAGAAGGACACTGGGGGTGTTGTGGGAGGGAAGGATGCCGGGGGTGCTGCAGGGGACTGATGCTGCAGCACAACTCCCCAGCAGAGTCAGAGCAATCCCCAGCCACTTGCCCCAGCACCTCAGAGACTCCAGCAGCCTCTTGTGCCGTGCTGGGTCATGCTCCAAAGCACCGAAGGCTCTTGCACTGGCACAGGAAGCAGTGCCATGAGCGGTGGATGCTGACGGGACCGTATCCCTGTGCTCCAGCCCTGGGACCCAGCTCTCCCCCAGACAACCACCACAACACACCATGGCACCCTGCATCCCCACCCCTGGCACCCTGCAACACAGATCCTGGGACAGGACCCCAAATCCTCTCTGAGGAGGGGGACACCATGCCCCTGCTGAGCCCGGCACCAGCGGGCAGCCAGCTGGGTGCCAAAGGGCAGCACTGCCTGTATGCAGCAGGGCAGGCAGGGTGTGGGGTCTCTGCTCCTGGCACGATTGGGCTTGGCTCACAGAGGAGGAAAAAACCCAGCATAGTGCATTCCTGACATTACCGAGATAAGAGGTACCTGGTACCAGCAGCACAGGCAGCCCCTGCAGGGAGCAGAGCCCAGGGCACCCTTGGAAGGGCCACCGCATTTTCACCCAGGCTGGTGAGCCCCGCACCAGCCTTACCAGGAGGCTGTCACCAACAGAGCACTGACACACGTGTCCCTGCCATGTCTCTGCCCCAAGCACATCCCTCCTTTTCCTGAGAAGCAGACGCAGAGGTCCTGCCCCAAAGGTTCAGTCCCAGCAAGCCCCACTGCCCCCTGCCCTTAATTAGGGCTTCAGTGCTAACAAACTTGCCTCCCAACCAAGGTTTTCACCTTTTCTGTGCCACAGACTGCCTCCAGCTCCCCCGGCGTAGGAAACACAATCCTGAGAGTCTGTCCGTCTGTCCGTCTTCAGCCAGCACTGCCCATAGGCAGAGGCCAAAAGAGCAGCGAGCAGCTGGACAGGCGGCACAGCGTGGGGTGCTGGAGCCCACCCCAGGGCTCTCCAGCCCGGCTGCCAGCTCCTCTCTCAACACCGGGTGCTCTGGAGATGATTGGGATCCCAAGAATGCTGGTCTGAGCAGTGGAGGGGGCAGTCCGACCGGCTGGGTTGGTCCCAGCTGGTTTCTGTTTCCGACACTCAGACACCAGCCTCAGGTCGCTCAGGCGGGTTTATCAACACTGCCCTGGTCGGAGACGCCCCAAACTGGCTCCCCCCTGAATCCCCAGCCTGCAGCCCTGGGAGCTGGGGGTGCTCTGATCAGCATCTCCAGGGATGTTACTCACTGATGGCCACCAATGCCCAGGGTGGCCAAACCAGCACCCTGCAGTACCCCTGACCTCAGGGGGGGGCACCCATAACCAGCCAGCAGCACCCACAGAGCACCGATAAACGTGCCCCTGGGGGCCAAGGGGCTTCCCCAGGAGGGGCTGGGCTGTGTTCCCCACACTGATGGCACTGAGGGGCACAGCGGGACACCAGTGTCCCCCTGCAGTGGGGAGGCCATGGTGGCCACAGGACCATCCATCCTGCCCGTGGTGTCTGAGGCAAGCAGGGGGTCCTGCCAGCCCCTGCCCCAGCACCCTTGGGTGAAACTCGGGCACACGGGGGGGGGGTGACCTCGGGAGCCTGCGAACTCCGCCCGCTGGCACAGCTCCCTTCGGAGCAGCCGCTGCATCCGTGTTTGCACAGCTGTGGCCCCGCTGCCCTAACCCCGGCACGTACCCCGGCCCCCGCCGGCCCCTTCCGGCCCCGGGACAGCCCTTGGCCGGCTCCCAGCGTGGGCTGGAGCAGCTCTTCCCTCCCATCACTCCTCATCCCTCCCTGCCACAGAGGATGGGAGCATCCGGGGACTGACACCATCCCGCCTTGGTCACAGGGAGCCTGGGAGACGCCTCTTCCCTGACCTCCTCCATGCTCTGCCTCTTCTCCAGGAAGGCAGGACACCCCCCCAGCTCCCCCTCCTGCTGGGCGAGGAGGGGGACTGGGGGGTTTTGGGAGTCAGATGAGTCAGTGAATGGATCCCGGCTCCCTGTGACTCAGCCGGGAGAGAAATTCCCAGTCATAAGGTCACAGCCCTACAGCCCCCACTGGAGCAGGGGGTGCTGGTTTGGTTGGATGGGTGCTGGGTGCTCTTGGCCTTGTGGCAGTAGGGGCACGGTGGTGATATCTGCTCCTGCAGTCGTGGGAGGCCGCTGGCTCCTTGGGCCAAGTGGGAGGGCAGCAGGAAAGGGAAGGAGCTGCGAATGGGAAGAATTGGAGGAAGTGCTTATTTACCCCGCGGAGTATCCCCGCGGAAGGGCAGGGCACGGCACAGGCAGACACTCACAGCCAGTCCCTCGGGGGGGCTCACAGCCTCCCACCCCAGCACCCATCCCACGGCCTCCTTGTTTCCAGCCAGAGGGGGATGCAAGCCCCAAACTGTGACCCAGGGAAGTGGCCACCATTGGGACAGGGGTTTCCTCGGGGCCTGTCAGAGCTTGAGCCCAAAGTGGCTCCTGAAAACCAGCCCAGGACCACCATGATCCCCCACCACCAAAGGCACAGACCAAGCACCCAGCCAGGATCCACATGGACAATGCTCACTCCCATGCCCTGTGAGATGGGACTGCAGCCTGGCCAGAGGCACCAGACCCCGCTCCTGAGTGGGCTGTGATCCCTCTCAGGGGTGCTGGGATCCTCCAGAAGGATCCTTCTGGGATCGGCATAACCTTGCAGAGGTCCCATGACCTTACCCCTGACCTGCACATCTCCAGGGTATCATCTGTTGGGTATCAGTAGCTTCCCCCACAAATCCTGCCTGGGCAACTTGGTCTGAGTGCACAAGAGTAGTCCCAAGACCCTCTGTTCTGCCCAGTTCCCCTGGGACCACCGTGCCAGGGATGTTCGACATATAGTCAGGCTCTGTTTGCCCTCATTAGATGCGAGGGCATGAGGGGGAGAAAAACAGTTTGCCAAGGAAAGCTGCACAACCGTGGCATCAGGGGCTGCCGTGGCATCAGG